AAACCTTCGTATTTTATACCTACCTATTAAAAACCCAATTCACATCCTCAAATTAACTTACATTTGAGACTGCTATAGCCGGAGGCTTCGTCTAATTGCTCTCGTAATAAATAACATGTGACCGAAGGCTATGGGGTAATTACTGGATTAGTAATTTGTTCTCGGTTACCAGCTACCTGTGTTCACGGAATGGTGGAGAGCATCCGGCGTCCGTCCCCCGAGGGATCCAATCTTTGTAAATTATTTATTATTCGTTATATTATATCTCACTAATTAAGTATAAAATATTAACTAAAAAAGGTTTATGATTTTCTTAAGGACTATTCTGATAAAAAGTAGCTGTGAAGATATAACTAGCCCTACTTTGTCCGTAGTGTAGTCCAAGTTTAAACAATACACACAAGTTTTTACAATATTAACATTAACACAAAGCAATAGATCGCGTGTTATAACTGAATCCGATTTAAACCGAACAGTCACATTTTATGCAGCAAAGGGTTTTAAAAAACTGCATAAAAGTTTATTTTGTATAATGAATTATGCAAAACTTATTATTTTATTATACGAGTTCTTCCCTTTAGCCACGATTATGCGAACTGTTATTGTGTCGCTAATTTATTTCTTACAAAATGATCACTTAAGCATTTATATTTATGAACGAGTATGGCCTTAAATAGGTTTCCTGCCTTTAAGATGACATAAGGTCGATACAGAAATAAAAAGACTTTTTAATTTTTTTTTTTTTTTTAAAGACAACTCCCGCACTAGGTGTCGCGTGTCGTGTGTCGCGGGGACTTTACAAACATACATGAATGGACACAAAGGACACCCAGACTCAGAACAACAATTATTCTGGGATCGAACCCACAACACTCAGCGCAGTAGGAAGCGGCGAGGTGACCGCTTAAACCACTATGCCATACGTGCAGTCGAAATGCAGTTTAATTAATACTGACCTACTAACTAATAAACTGACTTTTCCATACTAGTCGTAATAAATATGATAGCAAACTACAGACAACTCTTAAGAGACATAATGTATTTTGATATTTGTAAAATCTGATATTTACAAATGTCTTCAGTGATAATGTAGTACTGGCAAACTGGAAGAACGAAAGAAATAGGCATATATTGCTATTATAAGTCAGAATGAGATAGGTAGAAGGTTGTGGAAGGTCGGTGCGGCTAACAAATTATTTCATTAGAGTGGGCGCGGCGACGGAGGCGCGCGCGCCACCTGTTCAGCGACCGGATGCCGCGCCCTCCGCCCCGCTCACCCCTACAACACCCGACAAAGGGCCTGAGGACTGAGGCTGTGGTTACAGTACCAGCGAAGAGCAATTGCGTAAAATATTTCGTATTATTCATTTTCGCACTCTATGTATGTTGTTTTCAAAAGAAGCAAAGCAAGCTTCCTACCTAGGTGGCTCTCATAGCACTTTTTCTTGTGAATCCCATTCCTGCTCCAAAGGGGCTGTCTACTTCATAAACAGGGAGAAATACAAAATACCTGTAGGTAAGGTTATAAACCATACTCATTTAAGATCGATAAACAGTTAACCACTCTTCTCACCTCTAATAAAATTAAATTAATATTCCACATTTCAAAAACACCGATGTTAGCTTTACTGTCAATTTGCGAAGTTCTTTTGGTTTTAAACATAAGTATGGTAAAAAGATAATTTATAGACTTAATAATAATAGTAAAATACTCTACTTTTACGTCTCTCAACTCTATTGATTCAAGATATCTAAGATGTCTACGCATACCCGAACCAGCTGGCTTACTTTTAAGTGTGCTTCCAAGATATGGATATATCTACAATTAAAAAACACAAAACCCGTATCAAACTGCTGTTAAATAACTAATACGTGAGGCATTCAATAAACTTTGCAAAACCTAAAATAGTTTCATGGACCTATTTTTATTTAATCTTTTTGAATAATTCATCGCCACTATTCATGCACTTTTTCCAATCAATAACATCTTCGATAGCTTACTCACCGGAAACTAGTGCATTTAGATTAAAATGTTAATTACACGTAAACTTACCCTAGCGTGAAACTATTCTACTCATGTTTCTATGTATAATATGTATTTATTTACAAAAAAAAGTGTATATGTATTTATATCAGTTGTCTAGTACTCATAGTACAAGCTCTGTTTAGTTTGGGACTACATGGCGTTGTGTGAATGTAGTAAAAAAGAAAAAAAAAATGAAATCTTAAGAAAACTTCCTGAATCCAACAACTATCTTTAACATTTACTGTATCTTATGCGTGATACACGTCATTTTCTTCTACAACGTCCGTCAAAAGGCCACCACCAAATCTTTCTATAGCAGCCAAGGTTTGCCCAGCTCGCTGAAATATTTACTACACAATTGTCTTCCGTCCTAATTTAATACTATTAATATTTATGAAATAAAGATCTATTTGCACCAAATCCTGACGATCCGTCACATATTTATTACATATAGTTTAAATAAAATGAAGTGAGGACAATTTTTAACGAAAAGATCTTATTCAGTAAGTGTAACATTGTCAATTACAGTTTCTGACATAAAAACTGCTTATCCCAATTCGTTCTGAGTGTATTATTAATTAAGTTTGCAAGCTCCACATAGGAATAAATTTTTAAAATCTGATTATATTTACTTATAAAATTTATAAACAATAGTTTGTTCAAAAGACACACAACCGTAACTAGAAATCGAAGCATTGAGTAAAGGGCTTTATAAATAATAGCATTAGTTCTTTATTAAAGCGTTTTATGTTTTAGTTATGCGTTATAAATTATTTTTATTCTTACGCTTGCCACAGAACAAACCAATATGTTTCCTTTATGTTTACCGGTTAGTTATTTTAGCGTTATTATAGTATTGATAGCGTTTATGTTGTGTTATATATTTTGTCCAATAAGTAGCCCCATAACATAAAATTAAAGACCTGTAAAACGGAAAGGTAAATTTAATCTCAGTTCAAATTTTCGAATAAAAAGTTTATCGCTTACCGCTCGTCGTATAATGCCCTGGGATCTTTCAGACAGTATCTAGATACTTGTGTTCTAATTTATACCTTAGTGACATGAGAAGAAGGTAGAACTCAATATTATTTCGTTTCTTGCTAATTTTTACTAAAGAAAAGAACTAAAACGATACCTACGTCCTTTAAGACTGTCGCCTTCAGCACTGTTCGTGTCTCAGATATCGTTTCCAAAAAATCTCTTAAGAGCATCCGACGTCTCGCCAAGCATTAACAACGGCTAGTCGTTTGTGTAATCTGTGATTGTATTCATAAATAAATTAACCACACGACAGCACACCACAGTAATAGTAATAATAAATCTGCGCGAATCCTTCTACACATTTCCCGAAACAAGATTGACGATAAGACTGTTAAATACAAACAGCGTAGTACTATTGTGTTTTTGTTCCCTTATAAGGATTCAAAAGCGTCCGAATTGTTATTTTCTTACAACCGGCATTAGCATTCAGGTCGTCGACAAGGCTCCGTTAAATAAAGGTAAACTCTTGACGAAGTAAGTCAACAACCCATACAATGTCTGTGGTATGGCTTTTTGTTTGTTACACAAAAGGGCTGTATCCGGTGTTTGGAAGATTCCAACTGAGAGCATTTCCGCGAAATCTATCGCAATACACAAGAAACGGGTAGCATAACCGGAACAACGAAAAAAAACTTTTTTTACACTTATGTTTAGAACAGGATTGTCTATGTGTGCTAATGTAAGAATACAATAGAAATATAACATTTTATCTTTTGATCGAAATGCTTAGGTATAATAACACAAGTGTAGGCAACGTGGGTAACTTGTAGCTTACGAGTATTATAATGTAGCATGTATTTATTTTTACTATAGTAAAGCATGTGTATTAATGTAGGTGTACTCATAGGTTTAAATGAAAAAAAAACTGTTCTTTATGGTGAAACAATACATATTGGCTATACCTACTAAAATAATTTCACAATGAGAGTAGTTCGATCTTATGATACACTATTTTTCTCATTCAAAGTTTTAGTTTTCATCAATTTAGGAATTTATTTGTTGTATTAACTGAAATGAACCAGAAAAATAAGATTATGATACACAAATTTAATAACTAACTAGAGCAGTCGTAAACAAGCGACACAAAAAATATTATTCATCGGATGTTGATCATTTCCAATTAAATATCAGAATTTAAACTCAGTAATAACTTAATAATCGCCGGCGTAAAGGCAGTAGCCCTGCAAGTTGTACGCGCAGAAAAAATCTTCCCACAGCCAACAGGTTGCCGAATGGCACGTCTTCCGGTCGGAAGTACGACCGATGGTCCTTTTCGACAAAAAAATAATGAATGGATGCGGAGCGCACATGTTCATATTCTGATTCGTTTTTAGAACGTTATGATTAACATCGATTTAAAGATGTACCTCATAATAATCTCTTTCATTACGTACGCATGGATGGCAGGTGTCTTCGGAACACCTTCCATTTTTCTCACGCCGTCGTCTTTTGTGATAATGATTAATAATACTTTTTCTGCCTTAGTATTCTTTGGGTTGAATTGTATTGATGAATATATCGAAAGCAACGCAAGCTGAATGATAAACAGTTATACGAAGTTTGATAGATTTCATTCATAGTAACGATTAAACGCAAAACATGCTTTAAATAAATTGTGTTCGATGTCACTTACCATTATTATATTTCGTTCGTATGTGATTTTTGTCGCGGTCAAGGAAAACATTTCTCGAAAGAAAGTGAATACAGTTATATTGCAAAAGATTACAATTTGACACTACTTTTATTTGCTGTCGCGAAATTTCAACGAGCAGTCTTTTTTTCTAACACAAATCAAAAAAGAACTAAATCTTAGGAACACATTTTAAACACTCTAAACACATTTTAGGAGGCAGTGACACCAATATTTTGAACTATTCATTGTTGTCAACAGACATCGACAGTATACTAATGAGATTGCCCTGGTGTTTTCTAGGGTTCCGAGGAAGATCTTCCAGACTGCAGGCCGAGGCAAGTGTGTAGTAAAGTGGACCTGTATGATACGACGCAGCCCTGGATCGAGAGGAAGTGTCGTTGTTTGGGACATAGACCATGTTCTAGGTCAGTATACTAAGATACTTAATAATAAATAAAACTCCATAATTGACTAAAACATAATTAAAAATGCCTCTTAATAGAAGAATTAGGTTTGTCCAAAGTATATTCTTGAAATGATAAAAAATAGAAGAACCGAATCGAATTTTGAAGAAATTAAATAAGGAACTAAAACATAAATTATAACAACTACTATCATATCAATTTCTTGTTTCCTTTTCTGTAAAACAAAAACTTATTTATTTGGTAACAATGTAATTTCGAAAATACAATTTTAATCAAGTTTCGTTTTCTATTGTACAAATCCACCATTTAAAGTAGTTGGAATAAGACAGAAAAAGGTGGTTTTTTTTTTTAAATTAGGCTAACACGTCACATCGCCATTTCGCCGAGTCTTGTGGGTTCGATTCCCACACGAGTCCTAACATTGTGTTATTTAAAATTATGTCCTGAGTCTTTGGTCCGTCATTTGTGTAATTGTAAAGTCCTTCGCTACACAGAAATATATTCTAGGGTTGGTTTTGCCAAAAAAAAAAAAAATTAATCATCTCAAATATAAATGTAGGTACTATAATGTTAAGTATCTGCATTCATATTTTGCATATGTGTTTCATCAATGAACTGAGTAGGTAACTAATAAATATCAAATTATAGTGAATGGAAGCATTTCGAGGCCAACAAAACCTTTAGTACTTACGTATTAGTTTAACAAACTAAGTTATCTATGTACATTTTAAAATTAGTCGTATAAGATATTGCTCATAGTTAAATCAATGTTATTTCATTTCAGTGATTTAAATGCGGACGACAACCACACACTGGCAGACAAAACTACCCTTTACAAAACATGTGAGCCTGTCAAACGTCTTCCAAAATGCCGGTACTTCAAAGACGCCGCCTGGATTATCTACTCATTCCCCGACAGCAACGCTACTCAGCAGATCGTCAACTGCCATTGTCCGAAGTATTCGGTGACTTATCTCTTAAAGAAATTACCATATACGACACCTAGCGGTGAACAAGGGAACCAGTACCAGTTTGCGTGTTCGCCGCAGAGCGTAAGTTGCTTTTACTTTTACTACAATGACTGTGGTTTAATGACGAGACGATAGATGGAACTAGTTTGATACAAATACCTGAGTAAATTTTATACTTTTATGCTAGCAATTTTCAAATTTTACATTTTGAATATGAATTATAATCATATTCAAAGTTTGGGTACCCATATTTTGGTACTTTTAAAAGTTTATTAAAGATCGGACCACTCATACACAAAATACTTTGTTACATTTATTTTGTATTAAATTATTTCATTCGATTGTTACAGAGGCTACGCTGCTCGAGAAAGGAACCTTGCAAGTTATTCTCCGCGAGGCGACGACACGAACAAATCGATGAAGTCAATGCCAACACTATCTGTCAATGCCCGCGAGGCCACACCTGCCCAAAGCATCACACGGAGACAGGGGTTCTAGCAGGTATAACATACGCTTCAGAAGATATCCGCACCTACCACGGATACTGCATGCCCGAGCCTCCACCAGACGCCTACAGATTCGTGGGGGATAAAGATTGAGTGAAACAAGTGACCAGTATTACCACTCCTCAATAACGTGTGATATGTAACTCAAAATGCACCTAATTTGTGCTTTTTACGAAGTGAACACACAACGATGTAGGCTTTTGCTCATTACCTGTTTAGTACAAAAATGTGTCAGGCATGTTTGGTTTTAAAAAGAACGACTAATTTGTTAAATAAATTATGCGACAGTGATATCTGTTACTGCGGTTTCGGGAACCGATATGTCAGGTGTCAATCGGACGTTAATCTAACGACGTGACGCGATCAAATTAAGTAAGAAGAAAAAAAATTGACTTGAAAAATGTACAACGATGTTTTAAAAGTGATACAGATACTGTAAATAATTTAAGTACTTTGTATTACGCACTGTTTCTGTTATAATCGTGTAAATAAATTTAGCGTAAGTCGAATCATTCCAAACGTTTAGTTTAAATTATTATTTTTCATATTTTAATTATATACTTGCCATACTCACGTAGTTTGTTGCGTTTGTTCCAAGTCTTCCACGCCAGTCAAGAAGACAGTTAAGATGTTCATTGTTTTGTTTATGTTAACAAATTGTATGATAATAATTTTTGTTATACGTAATATTATAAGATTGTAAGTATTTAATTACGTGTTAGGGGTTGATAATAGCAGATACCGAATTTTGCGGAAATCTCTAGCTATACTAATAAACAGGTTTAACACAGGTCTTAATAATTGAATCGACTAAATAATGGCACTTAAAACCGTAAATAATGTGAATTAATGTTATAACACCTAATTAAGAATCACATACATAACAATGTAAATCTGTTATTTACAACACAACACGGTCAACACTTTTAATAACTGGTGTTTTATTACGAAATCAACTTAAAAAACTTCACAAATACTTCGCGTTAAGCTGTATTTATGTAAATATGATAGTGTGTTGGATTTTGTCGAATAATACCCAAGATATGGTATGTCTTCCTTTATTTGTTTTATTATGTATAGGTATTATTAAGTTAAATTATTGACAGAAAAATAAATGTTTCGATATCACTTTTTTCCCTTTTAGTTTCATTTTCCTTTTATTATTACATCATTATAGTAATATCTGAAATGGAAATTATATGACTGATGTTTAGGTAGACAGGTTGTTTCATGTTACTAGTTGTTCATTAATCTTATGAGCTGGTGAACAATTTTGGGTTGGTTCTTGAGGCACTACGAAAAATTTTGTGATTGACCTTGAAGGATCCGTAAACAAGACAGTCGAGGCCTGTCTGAAGGGTAGCAGCCCCTACCAACTCTTGAACATTATTTAAAAAGGCAATTTCTTTAGTAAAAAATGTTTTTGTGACACTGAGATTTTAGGAGAGTGATATAGGTAGGATTATTTGTCTTTAAGTATAAAGTCAAATAATCCCTAAAAGCCAGATCAATTTAATGGAATTTTTCACTTGCTAGAATATCGAGAAAATCATTATCAGACATTAACCGGGATACTAGTGCGTAAGTTACTCCAGAAAAATGCATTTTATTGATTTCTTATACGCGTGCTGAGTGTACTATCACATACTTACCGACACTTTTTTTCTGTGATCGCACCGATACGGGATCATTGACATGCAACATGCAATGAAGGTATTTATGAGATTTTCATCTTTATTACCACTTATTACACATCGATTTACGAACGATTACTGCCGCAGTAACGCGACGCACGCTTCAGCTGATTGTTGCTTTGTAAGGACGCAAGAGTATTCTGAGAAATTAGAAGATAATTATGGAGCGGAGCTAAGAAGAATACGTACGTTATAGTAAATATTACTTAGCCAATGTTGATTTATGTAAAAAACTTTCTGAACTTACGGCCTTTTATTGAGTTATGTTCTCATACTTAGGAAAGAGCAACATGCCTAGTTTTCATTCAGCAACTGCACCATAGTCGTTTGTACAGGATTCAACGAATTAGATAATTTAGAGCACTTCATTTTAATCTATGAGCAAGGAATATAGTCCAGGTTTATCATTTTCTGCGATGTCCCTGCGTGGGCAGTGGGAAAAAGTTGGTATGTATAGATTGGCTCCATTAGTGCCCTCTACATATATTATATATTCTTCCACCATGGTTCCTTCCTTTTCGGAAGAAACAACATCTAAAGTAGTATTTTTATAATATTTATTTTGTAAATACAATAACAATGTTTAATATGTTATATAAAAATAAGTAATAAAATAAAAAATAAAAAATTGGTAAGCTTTACTGCTTTGGTTTTATGGATTTTTAAAGTTTTCTTGGATTAGTATTTCGATTTTGTATTGCATATAATATATATACGATTACTTTTATTAGATACTTATTTGATTATTATCAATTTATAATGAACTATTCCAATTAGTAACTGTAACAATGCCAAATTAAATTACAACAAAAAAAGGCCAAACAAGGGATTCCCTCAAATGTTCTTCAAATGGCTCTTTGAACAACCTTTGAGGGGACTCCTTATTTAGATTGTTTTTTTTTGTCCTAATTTAATATGGCATAACGAATTAGGCATTTTTTTGTCATAATTATACAATGACATAATTGTTTTTTGGTATACTATTTCAGTAGGCATACATATCATTTAAGCTAATGTTTTTTGCCCTAATTCTCTATTTTATTTAAATATAGAAGTTTATATGTTACTTTCATAACTGATATGCATTGAATAATAAAAAAGTAGGTATTATATCCAATATAAATTGGGTACCATAGTGTAACAATAGGTTAGGTTGTGGCGGGGTTGGCCGTTTTGCCTACCATGTTTATTTATATAACAAAAGTATTTTATTAAAAATATAAATATTGTGCAAAAATATCATTATGCGTAAACAAATTTATGCTTTAGAATAGTATGCTTAACAATTATTATGATTATAGTAATTATGCTTAGAAATTGTGCTTAAACAGTTATGTGAAATAATTATTTTGCGTAACTATTATTAGGCAAAGTAAAAGTATGCAATGTTAAATTATGACACATAACTTTATGCGAATAAATAGGGAACCAAATTTGAGTATTCTATGTTTTTCTATTAACTAAACAGTAATAGTTTCTCATATGTAAAAAAAACAATAAACTAGTCAGTATCAAGTAACTCACATTTTAATCCATCCTAAGGTTGCTTGGAAGAGATTGCTCTTAGCAATAAGGCCGCCCTTTGTACATTACATGTCTGATATTGTTATGTATCATAATACTTGTAAAATGTGTTCAAATAAAGAGTTATCTATCTATCTATCTCACTTCAGTGATATAAACTAGTGGCTTGCTCAAAATGTAAGGCTAACCTAGAAGTTTGCACAAGTCTGTTACTGACGACTCAGAAAGAAACGGTAATTTTTTTACCTGCAAAAGTTACTGTTTGCTTGTTATCATTTCGCTATCAGAAACGTGTCGGGAGAGATTACTTCGTTTACACAAAAACGGAACCACGTACTTGTATTTTCATAGAATTATGAATTAATGGTTCAAAGAATCCAGACAATTTTGGGAAATGAAGATCGGATCAAGCTTTTAGTGAGGTCTGGTCACGTTTCGTGTTCCTGTCTCTCTACCACGTCTACGCTAAATGGGATAATAAATGTTATTTACACTTTAACACTCATTTTAATAATTTTGATAGCCTAAAGATTGCAGTCAAACTAAAATATATTCTATTTCATATATAGTAATATTAATAAAATTATAATGTTTGTAAAAAGGATTACCTCCGAATAAATATGCTTGTCTGCAGTCTCTACTAATTTTGTAGGAATCGAAAACATAGCACGTGACACGGAGGTAGTTGCCGGCCTATCACTTAGATCCTAAGATAAAGAAATTATCTTAGCTTAGATCAGTATTGCCTATTGACAATGCGCGTTTCAAACATCAGTTAAGACGTAAAGTTGTTCGCAAATTAAGTTTAGTTTCATCTTTGCGTTAACATATTCCTACACTTTATATGTCATCCGTTTAAAATCTCCGCATTTTTTAAACGACGTGTAATTTCTTCTCTAAGTACATTTTTCTAAAACGTAATCCGTTCTATCTCAATTTACAGTTAACTTTTTAGAAAAATAAAGACAAGTACCCGTATACTCGTAGATAGGCGTCACAATAAGCCTGTTTCATAGTGTATCTAATCAGAGATTACAATATAATAACGTAATAAATGGCTCAGAAAAAAGCCCGCCAGGTTCCGCTAATTTGCACAGTTAAACAGTTTTTTTACGTGCGTAAAACTGGTTTGTATCTACTACATAACCTTAGGAATTGCAATAGAAGTTAATTAACATATTCATGCTTGTACGAAGGTGGGATGAAAGGTATTTACTTAGTTGGTTGACTATAATTAAAATGATTAAATTGTTTTAATTGTATTATATGTATGTATTATATGATTAAATTGTATTAAATAAATAAGAGTTTCACTTTAGTTATGGAAATAAATTAAGGGATTTAAAAATGTACATAGCTTACAGATAACTAAATACTATACTTACTATGAAATCTATTCTAACTCAATATATTAAAGGATACAACTGTTTTATAAAAAAATATTTCACGATAATCATCACGTTAAACGTTTCATAAACGAGATAGTATCTATCCGTGAACGTCTATAAGGAAGTAGTCAGGCGGGTCATAATGAGGTCACCATAAAATGAGACTCCTGTGTTTGTGTTATATACATCACGTACAGGCTGGTTAAATTATAACCAGAATAAGCTCCATGCCTTTCCGTTTAGTTTTTTTCATAGTGGTAACATGACAAACAAGTTGGTGGAACGGTGGAAAACAAGCATGCGTCACCACAAATTCCTTTTACCTTACCTTTGAAAACCGTATCATGTACGAGTATTTATTAAGTATTTTATAAGTATGAGGATGAGTTCCCTATTGGCGGTTGTGCAGTGGAAGAATGCGGCCGCATCGCATAGGCATCATGTAAAACAGTTTTTCGGAGCACAACATATTATACAGGCGGAGAAA